TTATCATAAAAACAAAAAGTTTTTTGAGAACGTCTGTTTTTTGGGTTGGCAAAAGGATCAGCGGAAAGAGTTTTTTGAAATTCTAATTCTTTAGCTATGAGTTTAAGAATAATTGATAGACACTTCTAAAAAATCTCTCTTTATAATTTACGAAAATTTTCAAAGTTCTTTGTTTTAGAATCATTTGCTTTTAGAATCGGAAAGTATCCAATTAATGCTTTACATTCTGATTTATTTTTTTGAAAGTTTGGTATGTTACCAAATGATAAAAGAATAGGATGTTCAGATAATGATTGCAGGCTGAAAATAGGTTGAAGCCCAGAAGGTTACACAAGAAAAGGTTTCTAATCTAACTTTGGTAAAAGCTTACAAAAATCTCAACCCAAACTGGCAATGGCAAACTCTGTTACACTACTCAAAGAAGTTAATCCTAAACCAATCTATCCTAATCTGAAGCTTGAGAATCTATCCTATGAGTAATGTTTACATGAACTTAAATAGATTGAAAGAACAAAAGGTTATTGGCCATAGAAGATGACAATCCAGGCAAAAATCGTTAAGACCAAGTGAGTCTGGTGCAGATTGTTAAGATTAAATCAAAATCCAAGCAAGGACACCAGTTTCACAGATGGTGAAAATGGTAGTACTGCGCTATACTAGTGGTATATCCTGGGGATTAGTGATAATAGGTAATTGGAATGACTAGAATTAATCTCTATAATAATATCCCATACTATACTGCTTTTTGCAATATGAACTTAGTAGGTTAGATGGATTTTAAATTAGTGATAGAATTTTTCTCTTGCGAAAAGTTTCACCTAACATGTAGGCACATCTCTAGATATTTAAATAAATGCATAGTTGGATTATAAGTAGTTGGTGTAGCTAGTTATATAGTAATGTATGTACTAGGCAATATTAATCTGTAGATTAGCTGTAAAGACATAACAAATATTCATGTACCAACTGATTTCTGATTAATTTGTAGAGATACTTGATGTCTATCTGGATATATAAATGTATCAATAAAGATTATATGCCTTTTGTATATGTTCCACTTTAAAAATAAAAAATAAAAAGAATTTTTATGAATTTTCTCTAATATTTAAATAATTGATAATAAAATTATATTAAAAAATTAATTTTAAAAACTTCAACTTTATATTATAAATATCTTGTCATGATATATTTACTATATATTTATAAAAATTTTATTCATATATATATATATTATATTTATATTCATAATTATTTATATAATACAAAAAACAAAATCCAACAATAATTAAGTAATTAATAGAAGGGTTTTTTTTTTAATTAAAAGTTTTTATTTATATTTCAATTTATTAATTTTATTTTAATAAATTTTACAATTAAAAATTTTTACTTGTTATTTAATTAAATGAAAAATCAAATCTTAAAAGATATTAAAAAAAAATTCTATTGTGCTTAAAAACAATAAATAAAAATAACTAATATTTTTTAAAAAATCTAAATATATTGATAAAAAATTGCCATCAATAAGTTATTGTTATAATTATAAAAAATTGATATAAATTTAATTATAATTAGATATTTTAAATTTGAATAAATATTAACACAAAAGTAAATAAATATATTAAAATATATTAAACTTTTATAATTTTATAGTGCGTAAAATTTAGTGCTTTTGTCATCCAAGAATTTTTTATTTTTTATTTTTAATTTATGCTTCAGACCAATAATGATCTTATTTTTCTAGTATGTAATTGTTAGCTTGTATGCTTAAACCTTGTTTTAAAACAGAAGCGTTTATATCATGTTTAAACATAATAAAATTCAATTAGTATATTTTTAAAATTAGTTTTTATTTTCTTTTTCTTAAAGAAACTAACTACTGTCGTATTCCGTTGTCGTGGATATTGATTAAACATCTTGATTTTCGAGAAAAAAGCACAGAAGCGAGCAACAAGCGTGCATGCTGTATAAAATTTCATATACTGTATATATGCTGTGTGCATCACATCATGCGTTGTGATAGTCGAATACCAATAGGCACCACTAGATAGAGATTTTACATTAATTAATGTTTGTCACGCCAATAGTATGCCGGATATTAAATATACTAAATCGGTATATATTATCGGTAGAGCGTAACGTTTACCCGGTTTATTTAAAATTCATCATAATAGATTTTAGAATCCAGTGCGAGCATAGAAGTGCTCATAAATTTATCAAGTTTTGTCCCTCTCTAGATGGACCATTGAAATATGCTTGGTGATTTAAGCGAGCGGTTAACACCGTGACATTGCCATGGTCAAACGCAAAACCATATATGCAACTTCAAATTCTGACTCCGAAAAATTTTACATATAATCTTTCCATCCAATAATGTGAAACAAAGGATTAGTTTAGATCAAGGTAAAGAATTTCGTTTCGGAAAGGTTGCCTACGCACATTGTGTCATAAAAGGAAATTCTAAATTGTACAAATTAATGTATCATCTCTTTAGACAATAGATTAGCCTATAATTTTCAAAACTCTAACATCGCGTAGATTATTTCCTCCATATGTAATTATAATGTTCACTTAGGGAAATAGAATTCCGTATTGAAATTGATTGCTCTTTGAAATTAGCATTTCTTTAATTTATAGATTACTGAGTAAAGAATCAATTGACATGTTCGTTACTTCACTGTCGTACTTGTTCCTTATTGCAACAAAGACAATTATGTTACATAAAAGGGTCTGTTCTTTTCCAATTGCAGAAATGGGATAAAGGAATTCAACGTAATATTGATGGTGTATTTATTATTATTATATTTTTTTTCTTGTTGGATTTAATTCAATGGTGACAACTTGGCGGGGAAACATGTCTATCAAACAAACACATGTGCAACTCTTTAATATACAAAAATGGAAATACAATTTAAATAAATTACACAGAAATTCATGTCACTACATATTAGTGTCATTGTAGAATAATAAAGAAAACGCTATGATTTGATTAGCATTAAGTTTTTTGTTTGGTTATACCGGGAAAACCGAGTTTCATAGTATGATGTTCTTTATAAAAAGAGAGAAAATGGTAAAGGGACACATTTTGACAAATTTTCGAAAAATCTGAACAAAATTCTTTCAGGGTTATTGAAATTATTTAGCTTTTTCTTTTGAAGAAAATAACAATAAAAGATTTTGCTAATAAAGAAAAAATAACCCAGATTACTTTCATTTATCGTTTGAAGAATTTTGTTACGGGTTGAACAGAGCATTTTAAAATTAATACCGAAGTCATGCGCATATTTTCGAACCTTCTGGCTCTTCTCATAGCAGTTACTCTGGTTTCTGCTTATCCAGCTCCATCGGACCCCTATGGAGATTCAGTTTGGAAGAGTGGCCAGCAGGTAAGAATATTGTACAAAGAAAATACATAAATTCATATCATTTTTGAACGTTTAACAAGAACCTAACATTTTCATTTTAATTAAATTTCAAAGGTCACGATAAAGTGGGCGGACTCTGGGAGTCCACCGGCTAAATCGATGTCGGGGATCTGTGTCCAGTTAATGACTGGACCGGATCTTCAACAAATTCCTTTGACTACACTCGCCAATAAGCTCCCAACGAGCGCTACATCATTACCCATCACAGTACCCGATATCAAACAGTTCGGGTATCCTCCGGGTAAAATTTATTTTCTAATGTTCTCTGACTCGGCGACGCCGAGCTCTGGTCTCAGCTGGACGACGAGATTTACTATACTCGATGACAGCAACACAACGCCAGTATCATACACCCCAGGAACACCATGGACCATTTCAAGTATGCAATTGATATCTCAACATATTTTTTGAGTTATTTAAATTTGTACGCGTCACTAATTGTGTTAAATAATGATAGAGGGTGGTAGTCCGGCGACCTCAGCCGTAGCATCAAACACAACGGTGCCAACCGCCACCGACACCGCGACAACAGATGACGCTTCATCCTCCGCAGCGTCCTCTTCAACCGGAGCGTCATCAAGTTCCTTTTCCAGTGTAGTAGTGGTAACTTCATACGTCACTGGTACTGACTCGTCAGACGACACCTCTAAAACCGGTACTGGTTACAACACACCCGTAGTAACCTCCAATCCTGATTCTAATTCATCTCCAACAAGCTCCGGTTCGACGAGAGTTTGTGTCTGGAACGGTAGTATTTTAACTATTATTGCATGGGTTGCTTTCGCCTATGCCATATAATGGTTAGGTCCATTGGTCGTTTGTGCATATGTATAAAATCATTTATTAAGATACAGCATTAGTGTCTTCCAATCCTATAATAATAATTATTCACTGATCCTTAGACTTTTTTTTTTATTTATTAAAGTAAAATATACAGTATTTTCTAAATTTTTAAATTCTAATTTCTCCTGTTGCCTAAAAAAAAAAAAACGCGAGATGAATGTGAATTTGCCCACAAAAAAACAAATACAGTATACTGTGCATGCGTATGTGCCACAGCATTGTAAAATTTCTATTGTTTACAATTGGATTGCCGAACATTTCTCCCTTGATTGGATGCCAAATTCAGTACTCTGTAAAACCATTGAAATTATTAGTGTTTCCGATTAATATGATTAATATACATTATTTATTATTTGTGTATGATTTTAATTTATTTCTGTTTATGATCGCTTATTTATGATTTTTTTTTCTTAAAAAAAAAAACTTTAAAAAAAAATAAATATAATTAATAATAAATTTTTGAAGTCCTTTTAAATAAATATACAATTAAATAAAAAAAGTTTTATTTAATTATAATAAAATATGAAAAATAAACAACTATTACTATATAATATAATTTTAATTTATTATATAAGACAGACAGTTTGGGACAAAAAAACTGGCACTCAATTTTTTTTATTAAATAATTTTTTTAAAAAAATCATATTTAAAAATTATTAAATATAAAGAATAATTTTTATTAAAACTATTTTAAGTTTTATTAAAAATTTTTTTAAAAAAAATAAATTAAAATCTTTTGTATTAAAAGCAAAATCAATATAAAATTATATTAAAATTACTTTTTACTCTACAGAATTTGAACATAAAATAAAAAATGCAATAATAATTTTTTAGTAAAAATTAAAATTTTTTAAAATATTGATAATTAAATAAAAAAGTTTTTTAATACAAATTATTTTATTAGTTTAAATTATTTAAATTTTTATTTTTATTTAATTTAAATAAATATTTATTAAATAATAAAAAAATAAAAAGTACCATTTTTTTGTCCCATATTGTATAATGTGTTAAATAGCTTGGTTTTCTATTGTCAAATTAATAAACTTATAAAAAAAGTTTAAAACTTGATTTTTATTTTTTTATAAAGTTTATTTTAACAATAATTTATTTTACAATAGTTTATTTTTTTAATAAATAAGTTATATAAAATAATAAATATAATAACAATATATAAAGTATTATTATTATTATATATAAATATTTGTTTTATATTATCTAATAAAGTATATTTCTTAATTAATAAATATTTATTGTTATTTAAACAAATATAATAATTAATAAAATATTTTTTAAAAAATTAATTTTTTACTTAAAAATTTCCTTATTTGGTAACAAACTTTCTCAAGAAACTTTTTATTTCCAAGTATTTCCAAGTGCTTCCAACTGATAACTAACTCTTAACCATGGAACATCCACTAACAAACAGCAACAAAAAGCAATTCCTATATGCCACTATTCATCAGAACTGGAACCAGCTCTTTCAAATTTACTATCTTGACCTTGACAACAATACAATCATCTGAACAGAATTTGTAAGAACTCTTTTCATTACCAATCTCTTAAACTTTCCTAACCAATTTTTTATCATTAAAGAGAAAAAAAAATATTGAAGAAATAGTCAAAACAAACTCTACAAATGATGTTTGCATTATTAACTTCACAATGGAAATAACCAAAAAAAAAATCAAAAGAGACTTCCATAAATTTGCATTCAACTTTCTAACCAAAAGAACATCTCCCTTAACTTTCAATATATCAGCAACATAGTGAAAAAAATAGAAAAAACCCAACTTAACACAGAACTTTACAATCGCCTATAAGAATTTTTCTCCCTCTCTTAAGGAACAACAAAAAACCCCAACCAGCTTACCCCTAAAAATGATTGTCCATTTATTACTTCTCTTGTCTCCCAAAAAAGGAATGTTGATCAAACAGCCACAATGTATATACATGCAAACCCCTCATTTATCACTTCAAATCTAATCCAAACCGACAACCCTATAGAAATTAGTAAAACAACCAATAAACCAATGAAACTCTCTGATTTGGACTCCCCTCTTATCAATTCCACACAATCAAATATGTCTCATCCTCAACAACTAATCAGTTCTCCTAACAACTCTCTTACTATCTCAAGCTTTATGGACATCAGCAAAATCTAACCAACAGACCAATTACAATTAATTAACTTCAAAAACATCATCAATCTCGACCAACTCTCTAGTTCTAACACTACACTCACTTAACCTCCAATAAAACACATGGTCATCCTCCTTCAAACGTGAAATTCAAGATGAACTTCAACAAATCTGTGACAACAAGCAATATGAAACTCTATGTGAAGAAACAGAACAACTAGCCAATCAACTGCTTCCAATATCCAACGATATTAATACAATTATTAATATAATTACAAAAATCAGATAATTACCCAAATACTCATCTTACTTCTTCCAACTAATCTTTAACAAACTCAAATACAAAGACCATACTTTCTTTAATTCTTTTATGACTAAAGAGAATATCAAACCAGCCTATCAAAAAGAATTCAACGAGATAGAAAAAGATTTCCAAGAAAAATACAAAAAAGAATGCAACCTCAACTTTGTCAATTTTGAAACAAAAAATCCAAGTTATTGTCTACACTATCTTGTCAATTATTTACCTAAGAACTATTGATATCAACAATATCCCCTTTTACAAACTCGCCAGTCTCCTTATCTACCTCATCAACTATTTTATCAGAAAATCACAATTTTATGTTGACCATATGAAACTCAAGAAAAAACTCAAGAAATACACTAACAATATCCTATCAGAACTACCATCCTCCCCAACTGAAATTCCACCTTAAATTAAAATCAAACTACTATGCAACCTTTTCATGAAAGACAAATCTCAACTCATTCCAACTTTATGCATATTCAGATCCTATTAAAAATTTCAAAAACTTTCAAAAAACTACTTCAAAATTAATCTACCACTACTCAAAAACCTTAGCGAACTTCTGTCAAAATACAAAGAAATATTTCCAATTAAAAAATGCAGCGAGCTAAACAGACTCTCTGAATATAAAAATTACTTATGTAAAGAATATCGAATTTTCTCCAAGCTTCTCAAATCCTACTTTGAACTTTCACCTCCAAAAAAACTACTTTCTTCAACATATCACTTACTTGAACCCAAATATTTAAGCTTCTTTCCTTTCAATCCCAGAGACAGTACAATAACCATCCAAAATTAACTACACTACTCTGCAAAACTTATTATTTTAAACTTCTCCCAAATGACTTCTTCATCAGGAAAAAACTTCTCTCATCCTCAGACAAAATTTTAAACTTAGAAATAAACATTTCTCTTCCTGTAACAAATCCTACAGATATCTTCTTTCTTCTTAATCTTCTGTCAAAAAAATACTTCTTTCAAACACCCTTGCCAAAAGAGTGAATAAATATCTCAAAACAAGATGATATAACAGTGCAAACAGCTTCATCCAAATAACCTCTTCCAGAAGATTTCAATATCATTAACAAAAAAACAAACACAAATTATTCAATTACAAACAAAAAATTCCTCAGAAAAAATGTCATTAAAACATATCAATTCTATCAATTCTCTAAAATTCCAGATGAATGAATTCAAATTCAACGAAGACCTCCTATCCCAAGTCTATCTAAACTAAAAAAATATTTGATTTAAAACAAAATCGAAATGGATATTCCTATAATCAATGACTTCAACTTTACCTCAAAAATCTGTAAACTCAGAGAATACTTTGCCTTTCAAAGGCTTCTCAATAAATATATTATCCAAATTGAACTTTCTGAATCATTAACAAAATTCTTCAACTTTTTTCAACAATGATAACTACAAACAATCTGTTCAAAAATTTTTCAATCAAAAGAAACCTCAAAAAAATCACACACAAAAAAACCACCATTAACACAAAACAACAATTACTTGAAATTGGATCTCTCAATATAAGAAGACTCAATGATTATACAAAACTAAACTGTCTCTTACAATATATTAAAAACAACAACTATAATATCTTCAGCCTATTAGAAACCAAACTTCAAGCTACTAAAAAAATCTCTCACTTAATTGATAACTTTATTATACACTCAAGCAATCTCAATTAAAGTCAAGCAAAAGTCTTCCTAATAATAAAAAAAAATCTCTCAAATTATCTTTACAAAACTTCTGAATTTCAAGGATATATAATTTTAATATTCCTCCAATTTAAATCCAAAATAAAAATTTGCATTACGCAAGTTTATCTTTCATATGACATAAACACAAGAAAAAAAACTATTCTATACTTCCAAACACTTATTAATGACAACTCATCAAAAAACATCTCACATATCATCATGAGTGACTTTAACCCCACACCTAACTCAATTGACAGAACACAAAAATCAGAACCAAAACACAAAGCAACCATATATAAAAAACAGAATAGAAACTACATTGACATATTTTGTCTTTTCTCTCCCAACAAAGCAATGTATACCTTTTCAGAACCTACAGGCCAAAGCCACATCGATCAAATCTAGATATCAAATGACATCACCTCACAATCCACCAAAATACAAATAATAAACACAAAACTAGAATTCCACAGTGACCACAAAATTATCACACTTATACTCTTCAATTTCTTAATAACAAAAACTATCAAAAGTACATCTACCATCCATTTCAACTTTAATAAAGTTACTAAGAAAAAATGGGAAAAAATAAACAACACCATCAATGACAAACAAAAACTACTTCCCAAAGAACTGAATATTCAAGAAACGTGAAAATTCTTCAACTCAACTATTACCAAAACTTTAAATGAACTAATCTCAAAAACAAAAATCTGCAAAAACACACTACAAATCTTTAGCAAAAAAGGCATTACTCTTCACAAAAAATCACAAACTATCAAATTTTACATACACAACCTT